TAAAACAGCTCTGGGGCCAAATGTGTCACATACTAGAGGATAAAAATTCCGTAGCAAAGAGTGTTCCACATAAATGGAGGTGGGAGGGATGTGGGCTGTTACACAATGGAATATCATTTATCCATAAAGAGGATGAAATGATTCATGCTACAACCGTAAAAAAAAAAAAAAAAAAAAAAAAAAGGACTGATTCATGCGACAAGATGAATTCTGGAACTAGGGCACCAAGAAACCAGGCACAAAAGGCTACGCGTGACTCCTGACGATTCCCATAAGGCAAATCGAAGAAGACAGTATACTGGTGATCCGCAGACTGAACATGGACACTGACGACAACAGGGTCCCCGAGGTCTCGGGAGTGGTTCTCCAAGTGGCTTATGGTGCTGACACTGGGCAGTAACACTTACGTGACCCTGTGATAACTAACGGTAAGGGAGGTGTGGAGGGGCACGTTTTTAATTCCAACACCAGAGGCGGAAGGAGGATCAAGAGCTCGAAGCCAGCTTGAGCTATAATTAGACTTTGTCTCAAATACTATGATTTTTCCCCCGTGTAAAAAGTAGTCATACAGATTTTAATGGAAGGAACTGCTTTTCTCTCCATCCGGCTTCTCTTTCGCTTCCTAATCTAGAGGCTGGCACCCAGGATCAATACCTTCAAGTGTTCCTCCTGCCACCTCAAAGCGCCACTCGGAAAAAAAAACAAAAACAAAACAAAAAAACCTACAGTAAATGCCAATATGAGCCTTAACGTGCACGGACCTGCAGGCCCGCTCCCTGGGGCTCGCAACCGCAGGGCCCTGCAGAGGAGGGCGGCGCGTGCGCACCACGGCGCGCAGGCGCAGGCCAGACCGCCGCTCCGCCTGCTCCGGGCGAATTTTTGGCGAAGCCACAGCGGTGGCCGGCGGCCCCCACGCGGGGGAACGAGCGGCCGGGCCTAGGGCGCGGCCAGCTCTCGCCCGCGGCCGGCTGACGTACCTGCGTTCGCCTCAGGCTCGAGGTCGGCGGGCCGAGGGGAACGGCGCCACCGCCGCCAACACGCCTTGACTCTCCATTCGGGGATGTTTACTCGCAAGTCTCGCGAGACCACGCCGCTGAGGTGGGACAGGAGCGGCGGCCTGGCGTGCCCCGCGCGCCCGCGACCTGCGTGCGCGCTCCCGATGTCCGGGCGCCAGAGGTGAGGAGTTCCAGAGATCTCGCGACATTTGCGGCCCTGGGGCGGAGCGAGGTCGGATCGCGCTCTAGCGATGGGGAGACACCGGGTCTTATGGTGGGCGGCGGCCGGCTTGCTGGCCTGCAAAGTGGGAAAAGGGACCTGCCGTTGGGAGCGCAAACACCTGAACTACGTCCATAGCCCTGTTGGACCCTAGCGTCCAATCACCGAGGAGGAGGAGGAGGAGCCGCCCCAAGAGACCATCTCTCACATCACAGCTGATGTAAAAGCATGAGGATTTTATTAATTCTGCCATGACAGGGTCCTCCAGCATTCGGGAGGCTAGAAAACCCTGAATGTCTGTTACAGGCTATTTTTAAAGGGGAAAACCACAGAAGGGAGGGGTGTCTGGGGGGTTGTTCTTTAACTTATGATTGGTTTATACAAAGGGCTATTACCAATAATTGGCTGGAGAGTGGTTGCCAGATCAGATGAGGTAAGGAAAAACTTTTGAGGGTAACTTTGCCCCTTTCCCAGGGCCTAAGTCAAAACATCAGTCACTGAATCAATACCTAAGGCTTATCTTGCCCCTATTCAATACCTGAGTTCTATTTGGAGAACATTCACAAGGACTCAGGGAGATGATGGAAAGTTCCCAACATTTCAGTACGTGTGTGGGCAATTGTTAGGTCCTTGGTTCCCAGGGGTGAAGGGGGGAGCATTACTGCTGAGACTGAGAGTTGTCAGAAATGGCTTCAGAATTAAAGTTTTACAGCCCCAGCTTAGTGGCCAGGGTCTATGGATCCTGCTAAATTACCCATCATGACCCCAGCGCCTGAAGGCCTCCAGTGGCCTGGGTCTGTGCACCCACCTAAACTAACACCATTGCTGTTGAGATAAACCAAATCTATATGTTCTCCTAAACTAGCCCGTGGATCCAGCAGCCGGGATGGCCTCTGATGACCCTGTTTGCAACTACTGCCGGGGCTGTCTGCACCTTGGAAAACAGAAAGGGCTTTTATAAGACCAAATACTTACCGTTTTGAACAAAACAGCCAGGGTGAAAGTCTGCCTGGCAGAATGTAGTAGGATAGACCTAGTCTCAGCCTTAATTTAGTACTGAGTTGGACCACAGTTGGCCCTGGCACAGCCTATGTGTGGACAGCCAGCATGCTTGGGTGATGTGACTGAACCGGATAAAATGATGGAGGCCACAAGCCAACCTAGAGTCCCAGGCTCACAACCTCAGGAGATGGGCCTTGACTTCCAAGCCTGGTGTAGAAATTGGGTTGGTCATTGGAACCAGCAGCTGAGCAATCTTCCTGAAAGAGGATCTGGAGCAGGGTGCAGAGGAGACCCATGCAGAGCTCCTTGTGCTTTGCTCCTCAGGTGCTCTGTCAGAAAGTTCAGTTTGGAAGCACGAGAGATGACTCGGCCGTTAAGAATTCACATAAACCAGGCATGATGGTGCACACCTTTAATCCCAGCACTCAGGCAAGGCAGGTAGATCTCTGGGTTTCAGGCCAGCCTGGTCTACAGAGCGAGTTCCAGGACAGCCAGAGCTCTGTCTCGAAATACTGTGTGTGTCGGGGGGTGGGGGGTGGGGGGTGGGGGTGCAGGTAAAACGGCACACTACTCTTGTAGAGGACCCAAGTTTAGATCCTGCAGCCACATTAGGCAGCTCACAACCTACCTGTAACTCCAGCTTCAGGGGATCTGATGTTTTGGGCCTTTGTGGGCACCTGTACTCCTGTGCACATGCGCACATAGACATACACATTTTTTAAAGGCCATCTTGAGGCAGACATATGGTCTGCAGATGTAGCCCCACACCTTGAAAACATACTGCATTTGTTCCCAGACTCCAGCATATCCCATGGATAGCCCATCCTGCGTGAGATGCTATGCAGAGACCCTACTGCCTGCCCACTGGCAAGAACTTCAGTCTTGCTCTCTTGCAGTACTCCCTACTACATCACCACTTTCCCAAGGGGGTCAAGTCACTCCGCCACCTGGATCCCAGGAGCTAGAAGCCTCTTGCTGATGCAGGAGAAACTAGGAACCGAAAGTTGATGGTATAAAGGATCTGTTAAGCCTGCTTAGGAAAGATTTGAGTTACACGCAGCAGACTTTAGCTAAAGGAGTGCTTGAGGCTGAGCAGCTTGCTCACCAAACTGTAGGAAAGCAACGCTTGTTAGTTTAGGGTTGCTGAGTGTTTCTGTTAAGATTTGTTCACTAAGAATGCCACCTGCAGAGCCATAACAAAAGGAAACAGCCAGGCTCACAGCTAGCCCTCAGGAACACTTCCATATCAAAGAACATGCCTCTGTTGGACCGTCCAAAGGACAGCACTGGGTCACAGCGCCACTGAACTGGCTCTCATTAAGTCCACGTCCTCTTCTGCAGAAGAGAGATTTTCTGCTGAGCAGGCAGGGTGGCCCTGGTTAACAGCCTAGCAGCTGTCTCAGGGTAACTGATAATGGCTGTATTGTAAATCTCCCCATTCATTCGAACAGCCACACTTTGGGACTGAACTGCAACTGGGGGCCCTGAAACTACTGAAACCAATGGGGATTTCTGTCCAGAGCTGGTTCCCTTTGGGGCAGTAGCTAGAACCAGTCCCATGCTATTACTAGTTTCCTTTATTAGTCTCTAATTGCTGGAGTGACTTCTCACTGGGAAGGTATGTTGAGTCCATAATACACTGTGTTGATGTATGTCCGGTGTTATAATCTAGAGAGAATTCAAGCATGCAGAAGGCCTGTGCAGTTACATGCAAACGCTATTTCCTTTGAGCCAAGGACCTGAAGCATCATCAGATTGTGGTGCCCATGGGGATCCCAGGGCTGATCTCACAGAGACACCAGGGGATAACTGCTGGGTAACCATGGGACCACACAGCTGCCAGAGCCACGGCTGTCCAGCACTGAGTGTTGAAACTGCATATACCACTCTCCTGGAAACACGTCAAAACTCAAAGCACATAGGAGGCACCGTCAGTCCTAAGTCAGGGACTGTGTCCAGCTCACTGTGGGTGGACAGGAGTAGAGGCTGAGGGCATGGATCATCAGGTCTGAGGAGACACCACCAACCCTCTAGTTCTCATATATGGAGATTTTACATCACTGAGGAAAACAACAAAAACAGCCGGTCAGGGGGCTGGAGAGAGAGTTCAGTGGTTAAGAGCACTTATTGCTCTTCCAAGGACTTGAGTTCATGCCCAGCACCCACATCAGGTAACTGTAACTTCTGTCCAGACATCTGACTCTTTCTTCTGGTCTCTGTGGGCACCTGCACACATGTGGCATACACTCACAGATATATAAATACAAAGAAAAATAAAACCTTAGGGACTGGAGAGAAGGCTCAAGGACCCAGGTTTGAACCCCACCACCCACATAGTAGCTCCTAGCCATGTGTAGGTCCAGTTCCAGGGAATCTGCTGCCCTCTGGCCTCCAACAGCATCTGTATGCACATGGTGCACACAAACTCACGCAGCCTCACAAATATACACATAATGAAATAAAAACCAAATGTTAAGAAAAACTGTTCATAACTTTACCTGTTCTCATTTTTTTCTTCCCACTTTTTAAAACCTACTACAACTGGCTTTTGTACCCACCACAAAATTAAAATGGCTCATGATGAGTGACCCACACTCATCATGCCAAGTCCATAACCCCTCCTCACCTACTCAGCCATCAGCGGATAAGAGCAAGATCCTTCGGGTGCTCTGCAGGCAGTGGGCACATTGATGTGCGCCCTGCTGTTTAATCAGTGACAGTCACAGGTGTCAACTTCTGCTAATCCTGTCTACAAGGGACAAGGCAGTGACACCTTCTGAAGGAAACAGTGATGCTTTTATTGGTACATTTCAATTCACAGGGTAAGTTACAAAGGTTCAAGTTCAGAGCTCCTCCTTCCTTGGTTCAAACAAACAAACAAAAACCCACCATGTCCACAGTGAGAAGAGTAACTCTCAGCGAAGGGGCCGAGTCTGAAAGCTTGGAAGCCTAAGGATGCCTGTTGGTCTTCTGCTGGCGCCATGGATCACTGTGCTCTGAGTCTGCAGCAGTGTTCTAGCTGAGTCCTGCTGAGGGGCATCACTACAGTCATAGCAAGAGCTCTGCGCTGTAGCTGACAAGTGTGCATACTGGACCACAGGACCTCACACAGAACGACAGTGTGTTCCTGCTATGGTTTCTGCTTCCTGAACCGTGGTTTCACTATGTGCTCCATGATGGCTTTGAACTCCTGAGTCTCCTGCCTCCCCCCACCCCCATGGGATCATGCCTGGTGATGTTTCAAGCGGAGTTGCTGTTGCTTATCACATATTCACCCAAGTTCCATCAGTACGACAGAAGCTTCCAACCACTGGTCTCCTGCCATTACCTCCAAACGTGGGGTTCTGCACATGTTTTGAAGACATAATTGAAGACAGGAAGAATTTCAATCTTCTGGATCTGAGGCCCAGCTAGAAATGCCACAGGGGATGTCGTGGGTAAAGCGCATATTCAACATAAAAGCACACAGGGCCTACAGATGATGGAATGTCACCTAAAATAATTCCACACAAGTCCTAGCATCTCACCCATTTTCATCCAGGCACAGCATCAGCACCACAATGTTAAGCGCCACATCCCTCCATTCTGCACTCGATGCCACGACCTATGAATTCCCAAGTGCCAGCTGTAAAACCCTTATAAGTGGTTGGTTTTATAAGACCAAATTAAACACAGCAAGTTTCAATGCTCACCCATATTGTGGGGGTTTGTGTAAATTATCTTCACACCAATAAAGGCATTCCCTATAAAGTATACATTCATTACACAGGCCAAAAATGAGTTTCTAACACCATTTACACAATACCACATAACACACATGAACGTTGCTTATATTTTAACCACTATTCTACAAACACTTGATTTTATCAACAGTGCTCCTGGGATGAAATTGGGTTACATAGAAAAGTATATGAAAACCAGCTATAAGCAGTTACAACATGGATGTACTGAGAAATCACTCCTTAGCCACAATTTTTACCTTAGAAATCAAGACAACCCATTATGTATTCCAATCTAGAAATGAAACCCTCCCATAGAATTAAACAAAAACCACGCAAAGGAAGCAGCATCAGACATGGTAAAGCCCACGACAGAGCTAGGCAGGCTTTTACCACGTGAAAAGGAGTAACCTGGACCTTTAATATGGTAAGGCTCCCCATTACCTCGTCCTGACAAAGACTCTATTAAAGTCATATCAACAACATTGCTCAGACACACAGCGCACAGTACACACATGGTTCTAGGGGGACCATAGGGAAAGGCAGGGTGCACACACATGCCCCTACATGGAGCTATATGGTGTGACACACACATCTACTGCTAATACCACCTGCACTCACAGTTCACAGTTAGAAAATAATACTTTTCTGTTGTCTTCCTGATGAACATTATTATATATTTTCTTTTGAGATAGGTTTTAACTATATATCCCTGGCTGGCCCGAAACTCACTATATAGCCCAGACAAACTCCCAAAGATCCACCTGTCTCCACCTCCCGAGTGCTGGGACTAAAGGCATGAGCCACCATGCCCAGCATGATGAACATCTGAAAGCCAATACTATAATCACCTAAAAGAGGAAACCAGCTCCTTCCAGGAGCTGGCTAGTCACATTCTAAGTGCTAGGGAAGCCTTCTGTTCTGTTCTCAGGCTTCGTGACTACGTGCCCTGGGCCACCCATGTGGTCCCTGAGGTTTTTCTCACAGACTGAAAGTCGGCCTCATGAAAGATGGTAACACACTAGGTACTCAGGAAGAGACAATACGCAAGTGAACTACATGTGTTTTCCAAATGCCGGAATACTGCAGGTTACTGTGGCTTGGCCCAGCTTCTCCAGAGCTTCCAGATTCAGGCTTGGCAAGATAAGGCCTCTTTCCGTAGGGAGCGGTTGAGAAGGTTTGCTCCCCACACCCAGAGCCACTCAGGCATATACTGTGCGAAAAGAAACTACAAATGAAAGAGAGAGACATGGTTAGAATCCTAAACCATCAAAGCTGAAGAAATAAGGGTACAGATCAGTGTGGGATCTAGCCCTGTTAACAGACATCTAGTGACTGCATTAAACAGACTCTGAGCCCCCTTCCATACTGAGGTTTGCTTCTGCATAGGGTAGTCACTGCGATTCAGTCAAGGCAGCACAAAGACAAGATGCCCCATCATGATGCCCACCATCAGTGCCCACTCCCTTTCTGCATGCTCCTGGGAACATATGTCTTAAGTAAATCATTCTAAATCCAAGAGAAGCTAAAGCTGTACCACCCTGAACAGGATTTCATCTACATCCAAGGAGATGAAAGGAGTCTTATGGGGGTCCCTTGCGAGGACCTGGGAATGGCTCACAGCACAGATAATTCATCCACTGCTGTCTTGACCATGCTGTACTTCTCTATTGGCTCTGGCTGGGACTTTTCCCTTGTAGTTATTGCTTCCTCTGAATGCAATTTCCCAGGGTCACAAAGGGCTCAGTTTTATGAAGATTTCAACTCTGCACTCCAATCCAAGTTCTCCCCGTGGCAGAACTTGAGCTGCTGGGAATTGGGTGCACTGGCGCCACTGAGGAAGGGTCTTGTCCGTCTCCACCAGGCTTCCCTCAGTCATCCTCATCTAGGCTAGACCTCTTTCCTCCTTTGTCCTGCCATGCTGAGACTCTCGCCTGATTCTTCTCCTTACATGCTCTCTCTATGGCGTTACCAAACGCTGCCAACCTGCAAACCTGTCTCCAATACAAGTCCCTCACCTGGACGCCCACCTGTGTAACTGCCACCTCAGCTTCTCTGCACAAGTCCCCAGGACCCTGGTCCCACTAGCTTCCATCATGCCTGATGACCTCTTCTCCAGCAGCCACCCATCTGGACCAGAGTGGACCAACGCTTCCTCCCCTCCTGCTCCATCTATCACTGTGTTACACATCTCCAGGCAGGACACACCACTAACGTGATGTTCACCGCTTGAGCAGAGATCCACCATGCATGTCTGCTATCCACTTCCTCCTCCCAGCAACAAACAAATGCAGAACACCGTTCTCACTAAACACCCACAGGAGGCCAACTGGGGTGAGACACTGTACCATTCCTATGACAAATCCCCAATCTGTTCCTTAGAGCTAAAGAATGACAGGGAGTTGAAATCTTCATAAAACTGAGCCCTTTGTGACCCTGGGAAATAGCATTCAGAGGAAGTAATAACTACAAGGGAAAAGTCCCAGCCAGAGCCAATAGAGAAGTACAGCATGGTCAAGACAGCAGTGGATGAATTATCTGTGCTGTAAAACAGAAACGGGCTGGAGAGATGGTTAAGAGAGCTGGCTGCTCTTCAAGAAGACTGGAGTTCAGTTCCCAGCAAACATCAGACAGCTCCCAACTACCCAGAACTCCAGCTCCAGGGGATCTGACACTCTCTTATGACCTCTGTGGGCACTGCAATCATGTGCACATACCCAGAGAAACATATGTAAACACATAAAATTAAAAATTCAAAATGCTTTAAAAGGGCATCACCCTAAAAATTAGTGGGGGGAAAGACAAAAGAAACAGACTGGCAAGGTTGAAAACTTAAAGTTTTAACAGCTCTGTACAGAAAACTACTCTGAGCACTAAATAGCTTCATGGACTCTCCTGGCAGAAAATACATTAAAGTACATTTAAAAATACATAGAATTTAGGGCCCCATGCTTCCTAAGCAAGCACTCAAGCACTGAGCAACATCCCTAGTTCTCTCTCTCTCTCTCTCTCTCTCTCTCTCTCATTTTAAACTTTTTCTATTTTGAGACAAGGTCTTGATAAGTTGCCCAGGCTGGCCTTGAACTCACTCTACATTTCAGGCAGGCTTTGCAATCCTTCTGCTGCAGCCTCCAAAGCAGCCGGGATTATAAGCCTCCACTTAGGTGAAGAATACATTCTAGAGTTCATTAACGTGGACCAAATCCACCTGCCATTAAGATGTTGGTGTTTCAGACATGGTCAAAATATTTCGTCATGATTTGTCCTCATGGCTGCATCTCCAAGACAACTTTAAGGCCTTGGAGCCACTCTTCACTTTTTGTTTTTGCTTCAAGAAAGAAAAGGTCTCACTACATAGGCTGGGCTGACCCTAAGTTGAGATCCTCCTGCCTACTGAAGAGATGGCTGGGCTACCATTTCTAGCCTTAAACTACTTTTCAGGTTTCTTTGCTCGGTTCTTGAGAAATACAGACTCAGAAAGAGCTACCAAGACAGCATTTTAGACAAACCTATAGTTCTGAGCCTTTAGACGAATATAAGAATTATCTGTTGATTTGCTCACATTTATTTTGTCATAGTAAACTAAATTATCTTGATGTGCAATAGCCCCCGAAGTATTTAACTCATAATCAAAAATGCTCAGTAAAATCTAAATCTAGTAACATCTATTTCTAGTCCAGATAATAAGAAACAAATTACTATAAATATTTAGTTACTGCCCCTTGTGATTAAAATCGTAATTTTAAATATTTCATAAAGTTCAAATTTTTTTCCTTTTTTTCTTTTTTTGGTTTTTCAAGACAGGCTCTGGCTGTTCTAGAACTCACTTTGTAGACCAGGCTGGCTTTGAACTCACCTGCCTCTGCCTCCTAAGTGCTGGGATTAAAGGCATGAGCCACCACACCTGACAGAAGCTCAAATGTATTTCAAAATATTTTTAATTACACTGATTTGTGTGTGTGCGCGCACACCGTGGTGTGTGTAGAGCTCTGAAGACACCTTGTGGGAGGCAGAGCTCTTCCACCACGTGGGTCTCGGAGATCAAACTTAGGTCATCAGGCCTGGTGGCAAGCACCTTAACCTGCTGAACCATCTGGCTGGCCCCTAAATACTCTTAAGATATTTGTTTTGTCCAGGCAGTGGTGGTGTACACAGAGGCAGGTGGGTCTCTGTGAGTCCGAGGTCAGCCTGGTCTACAAGAGCTAATTCCAGGGCAGCTAGGGCTGTTACACAGAGAAACCCTGTTTCTAAAAATTAAAAAGATCTTTATTTTGTCTCAACAACAACAAAAAAATCTTAGGAAACAGTCTATGTTTCCTGAGTAAACAAATCCAGGAATACATGGAGATTTACTTGACATGATGGTGATACACTTACGGCCCTATCTTAGGGCTTCCTGAACTGGACTGTGCACATAGCACTTCCCTTCGGGCATCACCAATATCTCTGCACTGAAATCCCTATTCAAGCACCAAGTAGCTTCACATTCCCCCATGCACCAAAGTAGCCTATATCATGTTTTGGGGGAAAATGAGAAAACCTGAAAATCGTTACAGTAATCCCCACACATGAGCATCTAGAGCTGTAAGCACAATCACTGAGAATGGGAGGTGTGAGCGAGGATTCCCAACCCTCGGTCCCTGGCATGGCTGACAGAGCGTTTGAAGGCATGGGGCTACCTGAATAGAGTGGGACCAGTAGCCTGTGGTCCTTTTCGAAATGCCCAGGGTCGACACCGCGTGCTGAGCATACACTCTCGGTGAAGGTGCCAGCCACGGGCATCTGTGCAGGAAGCTGCCAGGCGCAGTCACACTGGTGGTCACGTGGAAGGGGATCAGACTCTGCACGAAGATCCCTTTAGAGGCGTACTCATACTGCAGGGCTCGGCTGAAGTGGTCCAGGTATGCCTGAAGGGAGAGGGGGGCAGAAGGGGAGGACTTTGAATCTAGAAGAACCTTGAAAGAAAACCCAGAAGCAAAAGACTTGCCTATTCCCATCTCAGGGAAAATGGCCAGCATAAGCAAAAGGAGCTGACTGCTCCCTGAGCATCCCACAGTAAGAAGAGCCTGACCTTGGATGCAGAAAAGGCCGCCAGCTGTGGTGTGGGCTTGCAGCAGGAGCCAGAAGACACTGTGACGATGGCGCCCTTCCTTCTCTCCACCATTCCCGGAAGCACTATGTGGACCATCAAGCTTGCAGCCGCAATGTTCACATTCACAATGTCCCAGAGCGTGTCCTCAGGAATCTGGGTGAAATACTGGGGGTAGGGGTAGAACGCACCCACGTCATTCACCAGGATGCCAATGTCTCTGTCTCTCAGGGCTTCTCGGATTGGAGCATAAATCTCCCGGCCTCTGCTGAAGTCCGCCACCATGACAACTGTCTCCACCCTATATGTATCAGCTATGTGCTTGGCCACAGCCTGCAGCTTCTCTTCTTCCTGGCCAATCAGGATCATGTTGAGTCCCCGGCTTGCTAACTCCTCAGCATAGGCCTTCCCAATGCCATCTGTGGCCCCTGTAAGGCAAGCCAGGAGGCATGAGTGTGTTGAAGCATGGTATCCTTACAGAGAACCAGAACTGCTCACGGTTGATCTCATCAGAGAAAATCACACACTAGGGGGAAAATGCATAACATCTGTCAGTAAAGGACTATGCTAAATTGATAAGGTGAACCATAAAGCTAAAGATACTCAGGCAGGAACTAGCCAGAGGCTCAGTGCTTGCTGCTAAGCCTGATGACCTGAGTTCAAACTCCAGGACCCACATGGTGGAAGGAGAGAACTGACTCCCAAAAGTTGTTCCCAGGCCTTTAGATGTACACATGGCACACACATGTGTGCATGCACACAACACACATACACACACACACGAATGCATGCACTCATGCATGCACTCTAAGCTACCCTGGCAGACAGACCAGGAACTGCTCACACTCAGCCCGCTGGAGTAGGATACTGTGGAATCTGCTTCCAATCTCACCCCTGGCTTGCTTAGGTGTCAGGATGAGCTTTCTGGGACACAGAAATACATCACAATGCAATTCAAAACAGATAAAGCATTTCTGAGAACTTTGACAACCCCAAAGGACAATTTCAAAACAGACAGCAGAAAAGACGTGTGAGAGGCAGGAATGGGAGGCTGGGGAGTAGGAGCTGGAGTAATGAGGGGGATGCCTTGGAGGATAGGGCTCCCTAAAGTGAAGTGGGAAGAAGGGAAGAGCACAGAATGAGGTCTCAGTAGGAGGCAGAAGCCTCCACTTAAATTCTGTAGCTGCCTGCTGGAAACACTGACTTAAAATACAACCCAAAGAGAAAGACCACTGGAGCTGAGATCAAGTTACCACTGATGACAGCCCATCTTCCATACTGCTTGATGAGGTCGGGCCTGCTCCCCAGGCGAGGGATGAAGTGCAGCCTGATCAGGCTGTAGAAGTCACAGATAACCGTGATGCTCTTTCTGGCTGTGTACCAGGCTCCCACCAAGGCCAGGGCTTCCATATAGCAATTGCAAGACCTGGCGATCTCCCTGTACAAGAGGTAGAAGCTGTCAACAGCAGCCATGGCAACCTGCAGGGAAAAGAAGAGAGAGCTGCATTTTGTGGACTTCCTCAGGAGCAACAAAACTCCTGAGGGCACACAACCTGAGACTGTCACCACCGCATGACCTCATGTCTAACACCTGTGGCTTAGGAAGTGCTGGCCTTCCAAGAGATTATTCAACAGAACTACTCGGCTATGGAATTCTTCCCAAAATCCCGACTCGGAGCTACAAGCAGTCTGAACAAAGAGAAACATGAGTGCCCTACTTCAGAGCTGCAGGAGGCATGATTATCACTGATGGCAGCTGGAAAGTGTCCAGCTCCCCAGTAAGTACAGAGGGCCTACTACCTCAACAGTGACAAGTAGAATAAACACAAGTAGTGACAGAATATGACCTTGGTCCCCGAAAATATGAATATTAAATATAAGGAGCACCCCTAAAACACGAGATGATGATGCCCTCCTGCAACAGCAGAGCAACACCACCCCCCCACACACACACATACACACATACAGCCTGTTACTAACTTGGTTTGCCTGGTATTTTCCCTCCTGGCCTCTAGGTTTGAGAAAGTCGCACACACCTCTTCTAGGTGTGTACACAGCAAACACTAAAGGGCAGACACGTCCCAAGTATTGTGTTAAGGATCCAAGGCAGAGGCAGGCATTTAACAATTAAAATGCAAGCTCATCTGGATATCTTAACCTACGAGCAGAGGGGACCCTGGAGAGGTGGACAGAGGCCAGGCACAGTCTTGATGGCATGACCAAGGGCTGTGCTCCATCCTGGACCAGGGCAGAGGAGCTGCTGCAGTAAGATCCAGTGCACACTGGGTGGCCAGAGGAGCCTGAAGGCTCACATGCATAGTAAGACAGTGGAGGCTATGCACAGGCAACTTGATTTTAAGTACCACCCCCTCTCCCTCAGAAAAGAAAACATAAAGCTTGTGGGAATGACTTCTGGAAGGAAATCCATTTAAAGTGAGAGGTGGGAAGTCCTGGAAACAGTCAACACAGCGGCAAAAATGGCACAAGTCTTGGGGATGGAGTGGGTGCCCTCTGTGTCTCCTGTGATGTAATTTGCGATCTATCAAGTTTTGCCTAGGGAAAATGAAACACGTTAACCACCGAGCAGGAACCTGTGAGCACATGGCCTCCCAAGGCACAGGGAAGCATGAAGAGAAAACTGAGCAGCAGCCAGACAGAAGACATGCAAGCTGCGGAGGCCCTGATCCACACAGTGCACTCTCCCCAGTATGTTCCAAGTGGCAGAAATCCAGCTGACGTCACAGTATGTTTTAAAAGCTATTCTCAACCTGTATAGTGGTGTGGACACGTAATTTGGGAGGCTGAGGACGGAGGAGTCCCAGTTTGAGGCCAAAAAGCTAGGCTATTTAAATAGTAAGACCTTGCTCAAAATAAATAAATAAATAAATAAAAAACAAGAAAAAAAATCAGACCCCAGCTGAACTGGTGGTATATGCCTTTAATCCCAACATTGGGGAGGCAGAGGTAGGTGGCTCTCTGTGAGTTCAAAGCCAGCCTGGTTTACATAGTAAGTTCTAGACCAGCCAGGGATACACAGAGACTGCTTTAAAAAAAAAAAATCAACTACTGAAGAGGCTAAAGTGGGAAGATCGAAGTTCAAAGCCAGCCTGGAACTTAATGGAAAAATATCTAAGGATGGGGAGGGGGTGAAAGTGTTACTCAGTCGCTTATTCAACATGAAGTCCTGACTACAAGCACCAGCACCGCAAAGAAAGGGAGGAAGAAAAGAAAGAGGGAGAGAAAATGGAGGAGAGGGGGATGAAGAGATGGAGCTACTGCCCCTCTGCCCCAGCTTTCCCAAGACTCTGAACACCAGTACAGCAAATCCAGCAGAAGGTGCCTGACCTTGGGGTTCTGCTCTCCTCACTGTCAGCCCCAGTCTTCTTTCTCTTAGCATCTTGCTGCCAGCTCTGCCCTGAGAGGCAGCTGTGAAGGGGAAAGGAAGCCAACAACAAACAAACAAAACCCAGGCTCAGCTGGGAACACTTTATGCAAAACTAAGACCAATGCTTTCAAAACAAAGCACAACTAAAAACTGTGTGCCTGGGGACAGTCCCCTGGCCTTGCAGGCAGTGGAGGGGGCATTCCTTCCTCATCCTGACTCTTCTTAGGGACACAGCATCAGATAGGACAAAATTCCATCCAGGTGAGCTGGGGGATCAACAGCAATCTATACTGCCTAAGAGCACCTGGCTATGGTCTCTACACCAGCCTGTGGAAGGGTCATCCTCTCGCTCCAGACCCTTCCTCAGCCCCCCACAACACCTGCTTCAATTTTCCACACCACAACAACCAGCCTGTGTAGCCCACGCCCAAAGCCTGGTAGATTCTGGCTGGCCTGCTTGAACCCAGGTGCCCAACACTTTCTCACCGCTGGCAGAAGTAGCAGGAACGTGAGGGGCTTAAAGGAGGGGGATGATTTGAGAGGCTTGGTAGGATTCTCCATTTCCCCCTGGAGACCCTTCCCCAGCTTGCCACTGTCATGAACTGCTGAGACCATGGCCCCACCAACTGTGAGGTGTTCCTTAGAAACAGGCACTGACAGCCCTGGTGTGCTGGAGTCTTGACATAAGAAACACCATGCAAAGCCGGGCGATGGTGGCACACGCCTTTAATCCCAGCACTCAGGAGGCAGAGGCAGGCAGATCTCTGGGAGTTCGAGACCAGCCTGGTCTACAGAGCTAGTTCCAGGACAGGCTCCAAAGCCACAGAGAAACCCTGTCTCGAAAAACCAAAAAAAAAAGGGGGGGGGGGGCTGGAGAGATGGCTCAGTGGTTAAGAGCACTGTCCCTTCTTCCAAAGGTCCTGAGTTCAATTCCCAGCAACTGCATGGCGGCTCACAACCATCTGTAATGGGGTCTGGTGCCCTCTTCTGGCCTGCAGGCATACATGCAGACAGAATACTGTATACATAATAAATAAATAAATCGTTAGGCCAGGCGGTGGTGGCGCACGCCTTTAATCCCAGCACTTGGGAGGCAGAGACAGGCGGATCTCTGTGAGTTCGAGGCCAGCCTGGTCTACAAGAGCTAGTTCCAGGACAGGCTCTAAAACCACAGAGAAACCCTGTCTCGAAAAACCAAAAAAAAAAAAAAGAAACACCATGCACACATTCCTCCCAGCCAGACCAAAGTGAGACCTGACGCACACACACCAAACTCAAAGAAGCCTGATGTAGTCAAACACCAGATGGTTTATGAATAAAGCACAAAGCCATCAAAAAACCTACACTGGTAGTTACTGGCCCATGGGGGGAAAGGGGCGGGTCTCATACAGGAAAGTGTACATGGAAAACAAAGCCATTCAAATAGGGCTGAAAACGGCAACTCAATGTCCCAGATCAAAGATAACTTCAGAAATAAATCTAGGAGTCCCCTGGGCCCATAAGCCTGGAGAGGCACAGAAAGCTAACTGACCATCAGTGAGGCAGGGCATCTGCTGGTCTGCTGAGGGAGGGAGGTGAAAACAGAACATACATAGGACACTTCTAATAGATGAGTAAGATCCCTAGGACAGAAAGAGAACGGCTATCTAGCCAGTCCCCGCTCCCACTCCAGCCACAGTCCCGGGGCATGACTGGACATCCCCACGTGTCCTTAGACAGGGCAGGAAAGTTAGACGCGGTGAGTAACATGACCATAGTCTCCACGGGGGTCACAGTCAAAGGCCCGTGAAGGACTCTGGGAGGTAGCAAAGGCAAGGACAATCTTCTCTGGGGTCTCCAGAAGTCCCTTCTGGGGACTGTGACTTCGGTGTGGTGAGGTGGACTTGTAGTCTCTTCCTGCAGAACTAGTAGTAATCATGTCACAGAAGGAAGTATGGTGGACACAGGGACAGATGCCAGGAAGAAGGGATGGGCAGGCAGACAATGCACTGTCAGTCTGGAAGACATGTGACATGGCTAAGCATGAGAATAGTGCTATCAGGATGAAAGTCCTTTGCTCTTGGACTGAAGGGTGACCCAGGCTGGGAAGGACTGACAAGGCCTCCTTACCCTCTGCAGCCAGAGGCTGCACTTTTCGTCTGGCTCTGGTGTGTCCACTGAGTCTGCCTTGGACACAGAACCCCAAGTCCTGTTCAGCCTTCTAAGCCAGCTCATATCCACTCTCCGTCCTTGGTTTAAATCCCCAGCCATCAGGAAGTTGAGGAGCAACCTCCTCCAGCCTGAGGACCCCTCCTCTCCTGCTGCTCTGTCTCTAACACAATATTTATTTCACTTGTCTCTGACTCTGCAACTGGAGCTCAGGCCTCCAGAGGTCAGGAGCTATGTCCTAAACCAACTCCTCCATAATTAGAAGGGAGGGCATGGTGGCACATTCATTTAATCTCAGAATTCAAGAGGCAGAGGCAAGTGGATATGAATGAATTCAAGGGCATCCTGGTTCACAAATGAGAACATGTCTCAAAAAAAAATTTTGGAAAAGAAACTAGAAAACGCATTCCAAAGTATAAAACCTACTATGCACAGTCTGAAGGAAAACAAAACACCTACTCAGTAACTAGCCCAACAAAAGCAGCATCCAATAAACTCCAAGACACCCAGGCTTCCTTCTTGTCCCCTCTTCTACACTGAAGGGCACATCCTCCCAAAAGCTGGGGTTTCTTTCTCTCTTTCTTCCTCTTTATTTTTGAGGCGCAGACTGCTTTGATCTTACCCCAGCATCATGAGTGCTGGCATCACAGCTTATACCCCAAACCTGCTACTCTGGCTGCCAGCTTTCTGTTCTGAAACACTTCACGGCGCTGCTAAGTGCCGCCTGTTTGAGTGGCTCCTGAGGAGTGCCCCAGTGTCCCGAACTGACCTGCGCCCTCCACCTCTGAGACTCTTCTACCAGCTGAGGTCACAGCTTTGCTCTGGGTCATGACACACCCACATACAATTCCTGTCTATGCTACCACCAGCCCGGGGTCACCCCTCAAATTCTTAGGAACATCTCTTGGGCATTGGTGCAGGCATTCACAAAGGGGCATGCCACACAGTGGAACTGCTGGGCCACAAGGCCCTCGAGGGTTCCACTCTCCCTTGCCAAGAGACAGACCTGACTCACCTGTCTCACAGGTGGGTGTGCCACCTGTGGGAACACCCAAGAGTTCACCCTCCAACAACAGGGTGTGTAGGGTGGTTAGCAAGGGGCCAAGGCTCTTGTGAACCATATGTGCTCCTGCTGCCTCTCAATCTCCGAAATGCCCGTTCCCGTCTGCCCCTCTTCCTACGATGTGGCCTTTCTCTCAGAAAGACAAGAATTCTAGACAGACTCTAGACACACACTCTCTCTGCTATTTCTTGCTCACATTGTTGATGCGCTGGAAGTCTCTGTTTCCAAGCCCCTTCCTTTGCCAGCAGTGCTCACGGCATTTGACTTCCCGCCGCAACTCCGGCAGAAGTCTCCTCACAGCATTTTCTAGAAGCTGTTCTGATTTAAGTCTGCGATCCTGGATTTTGTAATGGTGGAAACCTGTTTTCACGCATCCTCTATAGGGCTCTACAGCACCACAATGCTGTGCATACAGTATTGCCTTAGCAAATACAATATTGCCTTAGTAAACACAATATTGCCTTAGTAAATCCTTTTAGATACTGTTTGTGCCAGAGCTCAAGTTTCACTCTTGAAGAGGACAAAAAAAAAAAAATCCCAAAAACTTCGCATCAGCATCTGGCAAATTCTCTTACAGATCAGTGACATTTTGGGAGTTCCTTATCTTCTTTGGTCTGTTCTTGATCACTGACTGAACCAGCAGTGAGACTGAGGGGAAAGAACAGTAACAGGGAACCCAGAACCCGGGACTCTTACCCTAGATCCAGGTCTCTACTTAGGCACCAGGAATTAAGGCAACAGCAGCCCACTCCTAGGCACTTATCCAAAATAACTTTTTTTTTTTTGCTTGCACTAAAATTCTGTAAAGAGGGTTCCTACCAGTCTGACTCACACTAGTCAAAAACGGAAACTGCTGAAATGCCCATCGAGTAATGATCACAGTGGGGCCCAACCATAATACAGTGGAATATGACTGAGTTCTAAAGAGGACCAGGGCATGAGTACACGCTGTGCCATGAAAATGTGAGGCCGAGGGCCAGAAGCCAGACCCAACACATGTATAAAGCATGTTTGCAATTGGGAACCCCACAGACACAGAAACAGATCAGGAACCCAATCTGGGGCCAAGGTGGGCTCAAACTGCAGCTGATGGGGTGGAATTTCTTTTGGGGTGATGGGAATTATCTGGGACTAGGGATGACAACTGCCCAGCACTGTAAATATGCTACAAAGCACTAAGTTGCACATTTCAAAATGGCTAAAATGATTAATTTTGATAGGCAAATTTTGCCTCAAAAAAAAATCCACTGGGAACTGGGAGTTGGCTCAGCAGAAAACTGTAGAACCAATTTGTAACCCCAATACTGGGAAGGAAAAAACAAACAAGAGAGTCATGGGGGCCAGCCAGACTAGCCTAAAGGAAACGCTGGGTTTAGTATAAGACATTTTCTCAAAATATAAGGCCGAGAGTAATAGGCACTGACCTGTGGCTTCCACACCCACACATGAGTGAGCAACACACACACTCCACTAATAAAGTACCGTTGAACTCTGCACTTCTGAAATATTCTCGAAATGGCTGGGGTCACCGAAAAAGAGATCCTGCCCTTGGAGATTAAGTTACACCACAACACCTGTCCTCTGGCCATCACCTGTGAAAGGGGCTAACCCTTCCCGGCTGCAACGAGAATTAGAGGAGGTGATGAATAAAAAGCACTTACAACACAGCCTTTCGCAACCGCTCAATAAACCGTAGCCATTAGCCAGGATTATTACTCCGGGTTCGATGTTAGCTACCGCTATTTGTACTGATCCGACTTTGTGAAAATGTTTCTAAGTGCGTTATCCCCACGGCCTCGCTTTACCCCCTCCTTCGATCTCACAGGCAATACTACACAAGAGAAAAAGGACGCAGTCATATCCCAGAATGTTAGCGCTAAGACCTGAGACTCAGGTGCGGCTCAGAGCCCTGGCCGGTGGTCAGTGAGACACCACCTATCCCCGACAGGCTCGTGGGAACCTGTATCCCCTGGGGTCACAGCCCAGGGGTGTGGCTGAGTCCTGGTAGTGGAACAGGGACTCGCCGGCTCGGTTCCCCATCCCTCCCCTGCGCCGCCGGGCGCCGCCCAGCGACTCTGCAGAACCCACCCGGCTCTGCAGGATCTGCGCGCTTTCTTCAGCAGCGCTGTCATTCGGCATCAGTTCTGAATCCCAGAACCCATTCAGACCCAGCGGCGGAGAAAGAAGGATACGGCGGCACCGACAAAAGGGCGGTCACAGGGCGTGTCGCCTGTGCGACGCACGCGGCGAAGATGAGGCCCGGGACACCTGCTCTGGCTGCCGAGGGACCTCCGGGAGCGCGGACAAGAGTTCCCAGCTACGGGACGCGCAGAAGGGTGTGGGGGGCGTTCCCGAGGGTCGGGGTCCCCGGGGGCGTGGCAAGGGCCGGAAGCGGGGCGCTAAAGGCATGGGCGCAATACCTGCAGCAAGCCGCGCGGTCTCCGAAGCCCGTCCCGCCACCAGTCCGCGCGGCCGCCGCCCCAGACTCAGCCGCAGGTCCGCTACCCACGTGATCCGCTACGCACGCACCTGGGTGGAGCCCCCACTAGTCCCGCCCCCGGTAGCGTAACCGACTGCGCGTGCGCTTTGGTTACCACGACGACCAGGGAAGCGTTGGATCGTCAACGACGCGAACTGTAGTGCCAGAGCCGAGTGGCGAGGCGAGGAGCGAGCATGCACCCCGAGTCCTCAGAGCCGTCGGAGGATGGAGCGACGGAACCCAGTCTGGAGGAGTCGGCGGGCGATCACGGCGACGTGGGCCCCGGGGTCCGCAAAGAAGGTGCCATCGCGTCGGGAGCCGAGGGGGCTTCACACATGCCCATTCACGCAGCTGGGAGTAACCAGCACCCCTCACACATGACCATCCTTACAGCAACACGAACAGCCAGTCACCCGCCTCACACGGGCACATCAACACAGCCCGGAATAGCCAGCACCCCTCAAACATGCCCATCCACACAGCCATGGGTCAGCCAGCACACCGCATACATGCCTGCCCATTCACTATTAATGAATGCTAGACCTTTATTAATGTAATCAATCCAGCACATATAGAACACCAACTATTTATTTCAATGAATATTAATCAGGGACCACCAGTGGCTGGGACTTGTTTCCAATGAATGTAAGGCACAGTCCCCAGGGTTCAGTGTTATTCAACAGACACCCCACACCCCCACACCACCTATACCCCCACGCCCCCCACCCCGCCAACACACATACACAGAGCTCATCAGCTCTTGAAGTTACATTCATTCGAGGTTTCTAGGGATGCCTATGGGGTAAAAGTGCTAACAACACAAGCCTGATGATCTGAGTTTGAACCCACAAGTGCATAAATACAGTGGTTCAAATCTGTATCCCCGCGTCCCCTAAAGTTATGTCTCTGGCAGTGACTCTTTAGCTAAATATTTAAATTAAATATTCTGTGTAACTTGATATTCTCTGAGAAAACTTACTGGTAAATTCTCCAAATTCTCCATGACACCAGTTTATCCTTTTTAATTATTTTTTTCACTGTGTCCTCCCCTTTAAAAAGAAGTGTATTTTATTTTGTGGAGCGGAGATGAAAAGGGAGAGGTGAGGGGGTGCCCAAGGAGGCCAGAAAAGGATGTCAGATACCCTGGAAGTGGAGTTAGAGGCAGTTATGGGCTGCCCTGTAGGTGCTGAGAACTGAACTCTCTGATCCTCTGGAAGAGTAGCAAGAATTCCAAGCACTCTCAATGACAAAGTCATCTCTCCACCACCCTGTACAGCAATTTTTACAACAGTCTGCATGTGTAATGGCTATGTACATGTCACTTTTAGGCTGACCCTCTATAAAAACTGCACAGGGAAACATGAGAATGTGGACAAAGCTGTGCCTTTTGTTGTTGATGTTTCTACCATCTGAAACACGTTAGCAATGCAGATGTCTTTAAGGGAGTCCTTGTAGGGCACAGTGGATTCTTCTGCCTCGAAAATAATGCACTGACAGCGTCATCCGTGGGTAGGGATCATTCTCAGGAACATAAGTGAGTATAAAAACCAAGTTCCATGAAAAGCACAGGATCCCATTTATATAAATCAAAAACATGACGGTGAGCCGGGCGGTGGTGGCGCATGCCTTTAATCCCAGCACTTGGGAGGCAGAGGCAGGCGGATCTCTGTGAGTTCGAGACCAGCCTGGTCTACAAGAGCTAGTTCCAGGACAGGCTCCAAAACCACAGAGAAACCCTGTCTCGAAAAAACAAAAAAACAAAACAAAAAAAAAAAACAACAACAAAAAAAAACATGACGGCCTACTTTTTTATTTGTTTGTTTTGGTGTCTCTCTGTATAGCCCAGTCTGGCCGAACTCAAAACCCGGTGGAGAGTCTCTCCTTTCTCAGCCTTCCTGGGTGCTGGGATCACAGACTGGGGTTGCCATACCCATCCTAAATTTTTTGATCTTTACAAATTAGCCCCCCCTTTTTTTCTTTTATAGAAATTAATGAGACCAAGGAAACGTGTATGGATCCTTCTACAGCATCCTGCCAAAGTCAGCAGCAACAGAGTGGCGACAGTGGCTCAGATGGTCACTTAGCCAACTCAAGAAATGACAAGGATGATCGGGGCCCCAGGTATGTGTTGTGCAGCACAGCTCCCAAGCCACCAAGGAGGGTGCATGGTGATAGCCCCTTAACCCCTGCACAGGGTACAGCTACGGAGCCTGCTCAGTTAGTACTAGAACAGGACAGAAACAGCAATACCTCTTTAAGGGAACGAGGGGGTGTTACTTGTATTTATTTATGTGTGTGCATGTGTGTGTAGGTGGCCATGGAGGCCAAAAGGAAGTGTCGGGCTCCCTAAAGCTGGAATTACAGGAGGTTGTGAATTGTCTGAAGCGTACTGGGAACTGGTCTCGTATCCTCTGCAAGGGCAGCAAATGCTCTTAATTGCTGAGCTATCTTACCATGTCTCCAGCCACTACTCTTTTTTTTTTTTGAAGAAAAAAAAGAAAATATTCGGGGGCTGGAGAGATGGCTCAGAGGTTAAGAGTACTGGCTGCTCTTCCAGAGGTCCTGAGTTCAATTCCCAGCAACCACATGGTGGCTCACAACCATCTGTACTGAGATCTGATGCCCTGCTCTGGCGTGCGGGCATACATCGAGGCAGAATGTTGTATACATAATAAATAATAAAAAAAAGAAAATATTCATTATGAGTGTGGGAGGAAGAATATGGAAACAAATGTGTGCAGTACATACCCCGGTGTGTACCCAAACACATAAATGGATGCCGAAAGACAATTTGCAGAAGTCCATTCTTCTTTCCACTGAAGACTCCAGCTATCAGACTCAGGTCTTCAGGCTTTGATTCTGCCCACTGAGCCATCTTGCTATCCCCTCTGCCTCTGTCCCTGCGTTAAGACAGGGTCTTACTCTATTGCCCAGGCTGCCCCTCAGCCTTCTGAGTGTCAGCATTACACATGTTCACACTATGCCTGGTTCACACTAGTTTTGTTGATAACACTGCTGGAAGTATTTTTTATTAGGCCAAACACGGCAGGTTTTTTAGAACACTGAATTAACAGTATTGGATAAAACCCTAAGAGCCATTTAAGGGAGAAGACACTGCCGAGACGGCTCAGATGAGGATGGGAATTAGAGTCCCCAGTGCCCATGCAAACACCCAGTTATCTCTGGACATCTGTAATCCCATAACTGGGGAGGCTGAGACAGGGGAATCCGGGAGCTCACTGGACAGCCACTCTACCCAAATCAGCTGGTTCGGTGAGAGAGCTCTGCCTCAAAATCTATGGCAGATGTGATGGAGGGGGACACCTGATGTTCACCTCTGGCTTCCATGTGATTCTGCACATGTACCAAAGGAGAAGGGGAGGAGGAGGGAGATTTAACACGAGGTTTCAGATTTAGGACTTTAGACAGAATGGATGTTGGAAAGAACCTGATCTGGTGCCATGGCCCACAGCTGCAATCCCAAAGGGGCTGAGGCAGGAGGACCACAAGTTTGAAGCTAGCCTGGGTTGCATAGTGTGTTCCCAGCTGACCTGGGCTACAGAATGAGACCCTATCTCCAAACCAGCCCAACCCAAACAGGAACCTTTAAGTATGTTTCCCAACCGGCAAGCTGAAGCGAGACTCTTACATGTGCTTTGCGTCTTCACAGGATGACTAAACAGTTCCTTCAAAAGCTCTGCAAGCAGCACAAGCTGTACATCACCCCTGCCCTGAATGACACGCTGTATTTACACTTCAAGGGTGAGTCCTAGGGGAGTCCATGACCAGTGTCAGGAGGACAAGGTAGAAAACAAGCTTTAGAGGTCATCTTTGTGCTCCAATGTTTCCCTGAGCAGAACTCGGGCTTGACTGGGTTCATAAAGGGGCTGTGTGCACAGACAAGCCTCCCTTGCTTCTTTGGTTGCTTACTTGATTTTTCCCCCTTGCAATATAAAGGATGAAACCCAGGACCTCATACCCACTAGGCAAATACTCTGCCACTGAGATCCAACCCTCGCTAGCCCTCCTTTCCCTTTTTATTTTGAAATAAGATTCGCCAAATTGCCCAGGCTGCCCTTGAACTCACTTTGTAGCCCAGAGGATCTTGAATTTTCATCTTCCTGCTTTGCTCAACCAAGTAGCAGGGATTACAAGCCTGCACCACCAGGCACATAACAATTAATTTCATCTCAACATCTCTCAACGCCCCTCCCACTCCATGGAAGGTAGGATCTTGTTATATAGGTCATGCTTGCCTTGAACTTGTGGCCTTCTTGCCTCAGTCTGCTGAGAGCTGGCAGATCAGGCTCCAGTCAACATGGCTGGCTTAGGACTGGGCAATTTTTAAAGCAGTGGGGGCAGTTGTGAACCTTGACCTTGGGACGGGTATATGATGAACTACAGAAGATAAGGGTAGAAGGCAAGGGAGAAGGGTCATTGGTCCCCTCAGAATGTAGAGGTACTGTGGCATCCTAGGGACTTGGGCTTAGTGTCCAGTCCCACATCTACATCTGAGCTAGTGACAGGGGCGGTGTGGGACAAGAATGGAGGGTGGACCCATGTCAGAGTTCAGGAAAGAGACGCATGAAGGCACAGAGACTAGCCCAGCAGTGAGCTAAGAAGACTTGGGTGTAACCCAGTGGTAGAGGACTCAGCAGCCATCAGATTTGGGGCCTTGGGTTCAATCAAAAATAAGGGGAATGGCTTTGCAAAGAAAAGCTGTTACTAGCTGCACTTGCTGTCACACGCCTTTAATCCCAGCATTTGGGGGGCAGAGGCAGTCAGATCTCTGAGTTCCAGGACAGCATGGTCTACAGAGCAAACTCCAGAATAGCTAAGACTACATAGAAAGACCCAATCTCAAAAATAAATAAATAGAACTTCTTAAAAAAAAAAGAAAGAAAGGAAAAGAGAAAAGAGATGTGGGTATCTTAATCTCTCAGGTCCAAGATCAAGATGCCAGCAGATCCAATACTTTGTGATGGCTTCCAAAGTTCACAGAAGGAGACTTCCATCTGTGCCC